GTTCCAATATGCGTTTTTGCTGCCTGTTGCAGCGCTCTAGTGCTGCACGGCAAAAACGCATAAAAATAAAGCAAAAACTTGAGAATTATTCTTCGATGAAATTCCAGTCGAATGTCGGGATGCGACGTTCCCATCCGAGACCAGATCTCCAACAGGAATCCGACTTTCCATTCCCAAGCCACGTTTTCCCCCACCAACTTTCCCATGTAGATTGAATCTAGGACGGCCCTAACCTGTCTCTGGTCCCCATGATACTCAGACTGGAATCTTGAATTCGGGGATTGTAATACCTGATACCTATTGCAGGAATATCTGTATATAAGCTGGAAGATCCGATGGTGGGGGTCCGTGTGCTTCGTCGTTTCTTACCTATTGAGTGCGCAGCAACAAGTGGGCTATTCCCGGTATCGTTGGTGACTCGTCAGTCCTTCCCTCTGTGCGTCACTAATGTTTTGTACAACAAACCCACTTACACTGCAGCGTTGATCCAGCACTCCATCTGGTTCCTTCGATCCATCGACATGGTCGCACACGATACCAAACTCACCTTTTAACTGTAATTGGACGAGATAGATTTGGGTGGGTAGAAAAAAGGGAGGTATGGTAATAGTTTGGGCTACGGAGACTTGAAGTAAGGGAAGAGTTGGGATACAGAGTTATTTGGAGAGTGCAGTTATGGAAGGGGCGAGGAGAATTCATATTTTTGGATTTATATTTTGTAGTTGTGCTTGGTGTGTGAGAGCATTCAAGTAACATCACGAACATGGGATACCCACAGTCATTACCCGGTGATTCCCCGGAGCTTGATGTGAGGTTTTCCCGTGATGAATACGGACACAATCAGTAATAAGCTGTAAGATAACATGTATACAAAAGTACTTTATGTGGTTGAATAAGGCACACACACTCACACAGATACGTAATAAATACGCATATTTTACAAAACACTGCGCAAAGGACACGGAATTATTCCGTGGCCAAAAAATAGCAGTTGAAAAATGCACGGTTTTTTCATGGATTCTTCATGAATTTTGTGTGCAGTCAAAATTCATCACTGGTTCATGTCCTGCAACGATCCAAAATTGAATGTGGTACTTTGATCGGGGTGTAATTCATCAAAGTTTCCCTCGTAAGTGAACTATCGTCCCACTGTGGTCTAGGAACCGAGATCAAACACACCAAGAACTTCTCAAAACGATTTCTCGCTAAACTATTTCTACTGAGATGACCACTGAAATGATGACGGGTCGTGAGGATCGCCAGCAGGCTGACCACCACGGTTGCAGCTCTTCATCGATCCACGAGCCAAGTGATCCACTGCTAAGAGTAAATCTCTTTTTATAACTGATATTTTTATCAGTATATTTTTCACCAAAATACAATATGTGTGTATATGTTTTTTTTTTGTTGGCAGCATCACAATCTTGAATGCTTATTAAGTCTACTTTTTCCACTACTAAAATTTTAGTGGTGGAGAAAAGCTTCCTTTCTATTCTCATTGCTATCGACGGTCGGGTTGGTCAGAGCAGTACGAAAAGTTGTAGAGTTGAAAAAAAAAAATTGTTTTATCGAAAATTTTATTTAAATTAATTCCACAAGACAATTCATCTTTTGTTCAAATAATTAAAGCTTTTAAGGCAAAATTAGTTAGTGTTAGCAAAAAACAGTGACAAGAATGCACCAAATATGTTATGTTATTTTTAGAGGCGAAGGCACCATTTATGGATATCAACTGATATGATGATCCTTCGTTATATTATTACTAACAAGTTATTATTCGCAATCGGCCACTCCGAATACCCCTAGCAAAAAAAGAATCTCACTGTTTTGATCATTTTCATGTGATGGCAAGAATTGTCGTGTACTGTTGTCAAAGTCAAAACCTCTCCACATTCACTTTCTATGAAAGATAAAGGGGAAAAGTATATATTACGGTACTTAACTGATATGATCCCCGTTCTCCTCGTGTTTTTGGGTCACTTCAGTCGGCCATTCCAAATTGTTAAACAAATGGGTACCATTATCCTGGAGCGCCTTGAGGGGATTTGAAGTAAAGCGCGTCTTCTAAGGTCAATGTCAAAACCCTCAAACCCTCTACATATTCACTTTCTACAAAAGGTACATGTCGATGGAGTAGTAAGCGTGGTGGTACTTGCCTTCAGCTAAGCAAGCGTTAGCATAGTTATTGATGGTTTTCTCATTGGTATGAGTTGCTTGGAAGCAAGCTGATGACGTTTGCTATTGTAAACTAGTGAATTGTATTCATCGCTGCGTGAGGTCACGTCACGTTTTCCGACGTCACGTGCGGTACTATTGGAAAGAGTCACGTAACTATTATAGCCAGTTTGTCCCGAGATTGAGGACAAATGATAAAGCTCAGTGATATCACCTGTAAACAAACCTATCAATTCTATTCACGAAAAGTGATATCTAGTCACTCCGCCTAAGTTTCTTGATGAATGTGTTAAATTCTGTACTAGTCCCATCTTCTTGCCAT